TCAAACCACCCGTGGTTATGCTCTAAATCGTAAAGATGCAGTTGAGTGCCGAGGAATACTAGAAAGTGAAATAAGGAAGTCATTTAAGGAGCTCTTTGGACTTTTTTTCACATTTTGACGTGTTTAATAGACCTACAAGAAGTCGAGCTATATTATTAAACCAAACTAATTCATCGTTTTGAAATGTTATTACAAATAGAAAATGTGGAAAGCAGGGTTTTTATTTGCATTTAGCCCTCTTTTATTCAGAGGCGTAACCAGAACATTTTTATAAGGGTGGCCAGGCAGTTACCGATGTACACTGAGGGGGGGCCGAAAGTGGATAGGCACCAGGACCTCTGGGTCAATCTACACTATTTCAACAGGGAAATTAACAAACAAAACATCCATATTTTCTAAATAAAGACAAACTATACTTTCCTACAGCCTTTGCTGATAAATACACGCATATATTGAAACATCCCTAATTTCTAAATAAAAGGTATAGTGGATAAAACTCTTTCAGTTTTGAGTTCTGGGGCGTAAATCTTTTCTATTTTCTTTACTTACCTACTTGTATCGATAAACATTCTGCATAAAATGTATATTTACAAGCCCTAATATCTACATACATTTATTATTTGATAAGTTTTTATTAACATTGATATTTATCTATGATTTCACTGAAGACTCCTAGATGACTTGCAGAGACACATCATTTTCTCTTCACCCCATATAACACAAAATCTAGTTCTAAAAAGAGCATGAATTCTGTCATCATCTTTGATGTTAGTATATTGATGTGGATAATTAACCACAAAAAATTAAAATGTTTTGAATATTCCACTTGAGTGTATTACTGCTACCACCATCTGTGTTACAGGGGGAAAAAATGGTAGGGGTGGCCACAGGGGTTGCCAATGATTGGCTAAGGCCTGGCCCCCCATCTAGCTCCGTCCCTGCTTTTGTTTACTCTGAGAGGGCCTCAAAGCATTTTGGAACAAACAATGTCTTAAAAATCAAAGACCATATAAGACCAGGTAGGGAGGGGAGCTGTGGTGATGTTTAAATCAAAATAAATCAAAACTATATGACTATAAAACTACCAAGACATGACCATCCATGCCTATTCACAGGTTTCAAAGGAGATTATTTTTCCACAGAAGCAGGTCAGCTGTGGATTCTGTCCACAGAGAATCATTTTTTCTTAATAGAGAAGCAAAAACGTAGTTAGAGAGAAAGCAGCTCTCTGATAACATAGCTATGATCATATGAAACATGATTATAAAGAGAATAGAATAGAATAGAGTATACTTTATTGTCCCCTAGGGGAATTTATTTGTCATGGACCCAAGTGAGCAGTGCATAGAAGTAGCTGCCATTAGAAACAATAAATAGAGATAAACGAGCTAAAAATGCACAAATGGGCTTACCTGACTCCGCCAGATGGATTTGCTCCGCATATCCATCTGGAAACCTTCCGATGAAGTAATTTTGGGAAGGGGCGAAAATACTGGTTAGCTGATTGGCCTATGTTGGTGATAGACGGGCCAAATAAACCAATCAGATCAACGAAGCATATGACGTACTAACAGCCAGGCTACTCTTGCCGAAACCAGTCGGGAGAAGAGCAAAAACATCTTTTCCTCTGAGAAAAGCCTCCAGAGCAGTGTTTTGCTCTTCTTTCAGTGAAGAAATACTCTGTAATTCCGATAAAACTTGCTCGATAGCCACGCTAACGCTAGTTTCATCGGCTGAAGCCGCCATGTTCTTTAGACTGAACTGTCGCGCTTCTCGTTGCGTCACACCTCAACCCGCCTCAAAGCCAACGCTGATTGGATGTTCTAAATTTGGGCCCTTGGCTGGTCACATACAATACCTTTTTAAACATCAATCTTTGTACTAAAATATTCTGTCATGATTTGTGGACATTAAGCCCTAAAGAGAAGCTTCATCTCCTGGTCAGACCCTGTGATTGAGTGAAAGGGTGGAGTCAGAGTAAAAAAATATATGCACGCCCAGGTGATGCCAGTGGCTGGAAGTATGAGGGGATTTTGCTGCTATTAGGCTGGCTTTTGACTGGGAAGGGCCGTTTTGAACGGCTGCTACTGTTCAATACCCAAACAACAAGCAAAACTAGCCTGACGTAGTCCTACTCAATTCTAGTCAGAATGAGTCTGATGCTGCTCCATAGAGCTGTGATTATGGGGCGTGTTTCGAACGAACCAGGAAAAAAAATGCTTCTGCACTCAATTGGATAGACCTACAACCAATAAGATCAACGGAGTGCGTGACGTATGTTAAGCAACCAAGGGAGCCAGCTGATAAATTCAACTTTTGCCGAATCCCGTAGGAAGGACGCCAAAAACATCTTTCTTTTCAAGAAATGCCTTGATCACGTTTCTCTGTTCCTCTTTTAAAATTAATTTGCTGTCGATATCTTCTAGAACAGACCTAATAGCAGAATCTACACACCTCAACTCTCCAGCGGCAGCCATTGTTGTTGTCACCCAAGCACGCTTTGGTGACGTGGTTGATTACGTTACTCTTGATCATCTGTCCATCATCGTATAAAGCCCGCCCTGACAATTTTATTGGCCCGCCAGATATTGTGCGAGCATACTCGCGCTACTTTTGAGCAATGCCAGACCGAACTTCCCGACCTCAAACGTTTTGGGCGGGACTAAGTTCAGAATGGCACCCAGGCTAAAGCAGAACACCAAGTTATTGGACTCTTCGTGTTTCTCCCCTTACAGATCTATTTAACATTTTAATTTAAATGTTGATAAACTTGGGTCTACAGGAGCCTTTGAAGCAGTTCACTTTGTTTTTGGGGATTCTGAACCTTCTGCCAGAAGGAAAGAGCTCATATTCCCTATGGAGGATGTGGGACGGGTCCAGCAGTCCTGCCACCCCTGCCTGAGTACAGACTGCTCATAGATGGACTGAAGGCAGAGATGTTCATTTCTCCCCATCAACTTGATAGCAGTATAAACTTTATATGCGCTCTGTGTATAAAAATGACAACAAAGTTAGTCTAAGTCAGTTTGTACCAGGAGCTGCAGCTTTGTGGAGATGCTGCTGAAGCACGCCGTCATCCCAAACCTGATGACACTCTCCATCACTGCCTGATAGAATAAAAACATGATGTTCTGACTGAAGCCAAACAGCCTCAGAAATAAAGTACGTCCTTTGCTGTAAACAGGAACATATGCAGTCAACATGATCACCCCATCTTAAAAGGTTATCCAGGTGGATACGTACCTGCATACCCTTTAATAAAGGCGAGATAAGCTGGTCAGAGAAATCTCCTTGGTGAAAATATAACCTTTGAGAGTTCAGTGGAGTTTCCCCTTCCACCTTTAAATTTGATCAGATGTGTAAAGTCAGAGCTAAGAAGGAGTGACTCGGGTTAAAAGATATTTATCTGCTCAAATGGTTTGTTCAGTGTTCAGCCTCAAATGGGCGGAGAAAATCATTTTATTTTCATTCCACTGTCACAAGTACAGAGCAATAAAATTCCCTCTCTCCATTTAACCCATCCCCTTGGGGAGCAGTGGGCTGCCACTGTGCGGCGCCCGGGGAGCGGTGTGGGGTTATGGGTCTTGCTCAGGGACCCAGAGTGGCAGGCTGACTCAGTCAAACTCAGAACCAGAAGATTTAGAGATACCCTAAAATGTAAAGTATTCCATGATATTTTGATAAAAAAAAAATTGTGATCAATGAGGAAAGGTGAAACTGATATCGGAATTCCCATTTTACGCTTTTTGAAGATCATGATCAGTGATTGTCTTTCACAACACATTTAGATAATATGTTAAAAAAGCTGAAAGCCCTGCTCGGCTTTTACTTCAGACAAAAATCCTCCTTGATTCCCTCAGTGAGGAAAAGACTTGTTCAGACCACCTTCCTTCCTGTTCTGGACTATGGAGACATCATATATATGAATGCTGCCTCCTCAGCTCTAGTTTATCACAGTTCTTTACGTTTCATCACCAACTCTGCCTTCAGGACTCATCATTGTGAACTGTATGCTCTGGTTTCATGGCCCTCTCTAAGCCTCAGAAGACAACATCATTGGCTTACTTTCATTTACAAGGCCATCCTGGGTAAACTCCCTCCATACCTGTGTCCCCTCATGTCTGTAGCTAACAGTGGTTACAACTCACGCTCTTCAAGTCGTGTTCTTTTCACTATTCCCAGGATCAACACAGATCTTGGCAAAACACAATTTTCCTATGCAGCACCATGGTCGTGGCACAATATTCAAAACTCCCTGCAATTACGGACTCTTATTCCGCTACAGCATTTTAAATCACTATTGAAAACCGCTTGCACAGAGAATTGTAACTGTTATTCTAGAGTCTAGTTTATGATTGATTTTATTATGTTGTCCTGTGTTTTTATGTCTTACTGTACTGCTGCCTCTTGGCCAGGTCTCCCTCGAAAAAGAGATTTTATCTCAAGGGACTTCCTGGTAAAATAAAGGTTAAATAAAAATGAAATAAATAATTAAATCTAGGGGTTAACTTATCGTAGGTCTCTGGACAGTCAAAATGTGATAAGTTCAGTGGAAACCAACACTTCCCTTAGATCAGAGTAGAAAATACATGCAGAGAATGAAATAATTGCATGGCAATTACATACAGTAATAGCCTTTTAAAATGTCCCCACTCTGCATGGCTGGCCCCCCTTCGTTTCCTTTTTAAAAATCAATCTTTGAACTAAATTATTCTTTCTGTCATGATTTGTGGACATTAAGATCTAAAGAGAAGCATCATCTCCTGGTCAGACCCTGTAATTCAGTGAAAGGGTGGAGTCAGAGTAAAAAAAAAACTATGCAAGAGGGGGTCACTGCAGTGGCTAGAAGGTGGAGGGGATTTTGCTGGGAGTTGGAGGGAATTGGTCTGGCGTTTGACTGGGAACGGCCATTTTGAATGGCTGCTACTGTACAAATTAATCCAAAATCCAGCTAGAAGAGAACTGATGGTCGTTCTTTTTTTTTTTTGGATTCTCCCAAGGCCTACAGGAGAGGGTTCAGAGTAAGGTCGCCCACGTGTAAACAGCAGATGTCAAAAGCCGCCTTCACACGCCACCACCCTGGGCTCCAGTGAGCTACGCAGTCAAAGGGACTCATCACGTCTCTGCCGCCCATCTGCTGCTGCCTTAGCCCCGTAAGCTTAACGCCTGCAGAGACATTGGCAGTGACAGCTACCTTACGCCTTAAGGATTCAGGTGAGATTAAAACAAGTGCAGCCTCTATTAGGGTTTGCAGTGCAGTCAGCAGCGCGACGATGAGCAGGTCCGGGCATGATCAAGCTCATTAGTCGAGCGGACTTCTGGCAGGGTCTTAATTGTTTTTCTCTTTAACTGAGCAACTTCATCAATAATCATTAAAAGGTGCTCAAGCAGGTGGGGCGCTTCTTAGCTTTGTCACACGCAGGACCAAACACTGATTCACATGTCTGTGCATTAGGGTTGCAACTTACGATTATTTTTGCAAACCAATTCATCTGTTGATTATTTTCTGATGAATCAATTCATAATTGGAGAATAAAAGAATATTTAAAGGAGATTTTTTACTAAATTAAAACCAGTTGAAACTGTTTGGTTGAACTTTTCCACTTTGTATAGGACGTATTGCCAGATGTTTATATATATATATATATATATATATATATATATATATATATATATATATATATATATATATATATATATGTATATATGTTTTTTTTAATTTTGGTATAATTCCAGCTCTACAGTAAGTGGGTCACTCTGTCAGCTAAAGGCCCATTTTAGAGGCTCCATACTCCAGTTAACGATTAATTGATTACTAAATTGATCACGATTAATCCAATTAATTGTTTTAGCCATACTCTGTACCATAATTTTCTTTTAGCTGTAGGGGCGCAGCCAGGACCCGTTAGGGCCCCATGAGAGACATTGATATTGGCCCCCCCTCCACCCATAAATGTATACAAGCTTTAAAACTGCTATAAAGATGCACTAAAGATTATCATTTACATTGTCAATGTAACTTTTATTGTAAAATTTCTACAAAGAGAAACTATCATAGTGTGACAAAGTTAAATGGCTCAAAGACAATCAAGAGTGTGAGCACTAAACTGGCTTGTACTGTAAATTTTTTATTTTTTTTTTTACTTGTTTTTTTTTTATGCATCTGTGTGTCGTTACTAACCTCCCTCCCCCTTAATGCTAACACCGTTTAAAAGCCTAACCAGGGACGAAGGCTACAATTAGCCCATGGCTACAAGCCTTATGTACTTGGACATCGGCCACCTGTTTGGTTGCAATGTTTAATCGTACTGTCCCTGTCAAATAAACAAATAAATAAAAAATAAATAAAAACATATACCTATTAGGGTTCACTATAACTTTATTAAAGGACAGGTTATTTTTATGCTGGCACTGAGAACTCATTTTTCATTCAGGTTTGTGGTGTAGCTGCTTCAGGCTGCTCATGAGAATGATCAAGATTTATAGATGTCTTTTAATGGTATAAAATGCTATACTATAGTATATGTTATAATATATTTATGGTATAATGTCATATTTTTATGGTATAAAAATCTGTTCATATATTCAATATATTCATGCTTTGTTTCACAGTTTACTGTTAAAAAACGAGGGATAAGAAGATTATTTATTTACTGCTGGATTTTCATTTTATATTTGAAAAAAAATTATATATATATTCTTTTGGGCCCCCCACCCCCTCAGTCAAGGGCCCTTAGAATCTACCTAACATATGGCGACCCCGTTCAGCTGTCTCAACAAGTGGTGTAATATATATATTTTAACATTTTAGATGATTGTGTGTTAAATAAGAGCTGAATCGGTACCAATCAGCTGTACAGAATACAAAATGAAATGACTAAGGAGTGCTTGAAGTTAAGAATTTGTGCTTTTTCTTCTTTTTTTTTTAACAGATATTTATGAAATGTCTTTAGTTGAGCCAGATGAATATAGCTGTTCCTCCATTGGCGCATGCTTTGGCGTGTCAGTCCAGTACAGATGTGTCTCTCTTTGCATAAGCCAGTCCCTAACTTCCTGTTGCTGACATTTCAGCTGTGCGTTTAAGAGCTTGCTGGGTTCTGAAAAGGTTGTCATAGCAAAGTGTCAGGCGGCGTCTCCTCTTCTCCTTTAGGCACTCAAAGCTTCTCTCGCTTTGCTTCTCCTCGCTCCTCCTTTTCCAGCTTTATAACCTGCTGTCAATCATAGAGGGAATATGTTTACCTTTCCTGCTTTTATTGTTCTGTCTTAATTGCTCTCTCTCACCTCTTTGTTATTCATAACATATGATTAGTATATGCATCCACCCTGCTCTTTTTAACACCCCGTAATGCATGCTCACCTGACTTGCATGATAAACAATCACGTCTGACTTGTGAGTCTTCATCAGTGTGGAATTTACCTTTAATTAGTGCCTGGTTCAGTGCAAAGCATTTGATGTGGTGTTTATTAACAGAAATGCACTTCAGATTCATACTTTCTATTTTGATATTTATCTGATTTAATGAAAAAATGCAAAAAATACTCTTACTGTTTGTTGTCTTTATGTTAAAATAAGCTGCTTACGTTAAAAAAAGATATTTTTCCTGCAGTTTTTCTTCAACAATAAGAATATCATTGGCTCTAGGGTTCGGAGGTGTTGCACTTTTTCACTTTTTTGGGTCGCAGAGTTTTGTGCTTTTCCTCTTATCAGAATATTCTACAGAGGAATGTACTGTTGTGATGTTTTGTTAATGTAACCCTTTAACATTTCACATCTTGTTTCCAATGGATACCTGGTCAAAATAGCTGCAGCATAGTCAAACTACAAAGGACATTCAATCATGTAATAAGTTAAGGAAAAATATGAATTAAAAGTAATTGCAAATATTTAAACTAGACTTCAAGTTTTATGAGGTTTTTAAATGAATTCAAAGATATTAAGTTTTCCTGAGGAAATTCAGATAGAAAGTTAATCCAGGCAATAGGTGCCGAAAAAACCTCAAAGCGTTATTTGCCTGTTCAGTTTTTACTTTTTATTAAACAAGGTTGGGATTTCCTTTTCAATGGGGATGGTAAATAGAGTTCTTTAAAACATAGCTTTGACAGAGGCAGCAAACATGAAGGGATTACCATTTCCATGCAACATATTCTCATTATCAGTGCGTATGAAATTGCACGAAAAGTTATGCACAGTATTTCCTACGTTTTGGATGTTTTTCCTCAAAAAACCACATCAGTGCGCATGCGCTGGCAGACAGAAAAAAAAGGCAGATCCGCGGACGGACATAAAAATGGGAAAAACAGTGCAATAATCACTTATTTATGTCTTTAACTACGTTGCTTGCTGTTTTATATCTTAGGGTTAGGGTTAGGGCTAATTGTAATTAATATTCTATATTCGTGAATGGTGCGTCAGATGCGCATGCGACGAGAAAAACGTCCAAACGTACAAAATTACGGTGCATAACTTTTCGTACGATTTCACACGCACTCATAATGAGAATAAGTTGTTACATGAGTGAGTAATGATGAATCAGTAACCTTAGCCAGTAAAACACCTCACCACCCTTAGCATCCATAATGTACAGTAGAGACAATAAGCTTTTTTAATTGTACCTAATATATACAAGGGTCACAGCTAACGATTACATAGCCAAAGATTCCTCAAAGAAGTTTTTTTATTTTTGCAAAATGAAACCAGTGGAGCAGATTCACAGTCGGCCTCAGCAGATGGCCGCTCACACTGAGCCTGGTTCTGCTGGAGGTTTCTTCCTGTTAAAAGGGAGTTTTTCCTCTCCACTGTCGCTACAAGCATGCTTAGTGTGAGGGATTGCTGAAGAGTGAATGAGTCGATGCAATCAGCTGGTTTTCCTTAGATAGAAAACTTTGAATCAATCTGACTGGATGATCTGGTGAACTGGAAAGTGACCTGAGATGACATGATGTGAATTGGAGCTATAGAAATAAATTGAATTGAATTGAAAATGCAAAAAGTTTTTATATATATTTTTTAACAATCTTGTTATAATTCCTGCTCTAAGTGGGTCCCTCTGTCAGCTAAAGGTATGTTTTAGAGTCTCTATACTCCAGTTAACGATTAATCGAATACTAAATAAGTTGACAATTATTTAAATCATCGATTAATCACGATCTGATTAATTGATTCAGCCCTACTATATATCCATATTAAAAAAAACAGCAAAAGTTGTCCTGCTAATAATCTTACAGAGAGGGAAATGACTTATTTCTATAATAATATTATAATAGGGGCTTCATTTTATTGTGTGATAAAGATGAAATGACATTTTTTATCAGTTTAAAATTCTAAATACAACTCCAATATTTAAAAAAAAAACGTATGTAGGTAGGTAGTTTATATATAGAAAAAGAAAAACTTCATACTTAAGCCTCGCTATCCCCTATAGATTATAATAAATACGACATAGGGCCGTCTAGTTATATCATCTGGGATCTACCTACCAGTTAATTTGCAGACCGTGCAATAATTTATGTAGAGCAATGTCAGCAAGACGTTCGCTTGAAATCTAATGGATGCATTCAGCTTAGAGAAATCTAAAAACAAAAATGTTGCGTCTGTGCTGCTTTAGGTAAAAACTGCTGTTCTGTTTTTTTATGACCTTAGTAGATCACAAATAAATAGATGAGCAAACATAGTGATAGGAGCTGTTTAAGTACCAGGGCACAAAGGTTTAAAAGCAGGTTTATATTTAGTCTGGCCTGTGATTAACTTAGGGTTGTACAAAATTTTTTTGATTCCTTTCAAATTTTGCTTTATTTTATTAAATGATTATTGTATCAAATTAAAATACATATCACAATATATTATTAGACAATATTTGTTCAAATATCATGACGGAGTATTAGGGCTTTTATGGATTTATTTTATATCAGAATAAAATCATAAAACTATGAGAATCATGTTGTTGCATTATAAAGTAATTATATAATAAAAAGGTTCTTATATTTGGAGAATAAAATTGTATTTTATGACAGAAAAAGCCCCGTCTTCCCTAAAATGAAGAATGTCGAGCATCATGTAAAATTATACTTTGGCATCAGTTTCACAAATAAGGAAATATTTAGTCTTTTTGCATCAAATTATTATCAGTTATTATCAGATCTTTGAAACAATTGTGAAAACGACTTTGAGTTCGAAGCTTTCTTTCCGAAACAGGTTGAGGTATGATGACTTCATT